ATTAGAATATTCAGCATACATTTAGATGAGCTGTATTCAAATTTGGATGCTTTTTTTTTCAAATTAGAATATCTAAACATGTTAAGTTCTCTTACATTGGTCAGATTCGACCCAACTTTCCTATCGAAAGGTCGTTAGAGAAACGTTTGGGACTGGAGAAGCTCGTCTTGAGTGAAAGATGAATGCAACGACCCTCGGTTAGTTCCAATTCGAGAATGAATGGAAAGAGAACTTCTTACTCGTAATAAGCTTCATTATTCAGCTGTATCGGTTTTCTGTCTCACTCATTCTATTCAATGATCCTTGATGTTGCGTTTTTGAAGAAGATTAGGATGAAAAACGCAATTTAGTAACTGCCATTAAGGTAAAATAATGAACGAAGTCATGAAATGATTAAAATTTTTAAAAACTCGAGTATTGCAAACAGTCCCCATTGATATCATTGAATATGATTGCAGCTGTTCAATTCTTGATCGAGTTCGTCTCATTTCACCTTTTCTTCCTATAAAAGCACTAGTTACTGATGGCTTAACATTTGCAGCAGAATGTGGTACGTTCATATCATTAAACGATCAGTCGCTCGCTGGAGAGTTCGGCTTGAGCGTCGCCTTATTGATGGTATTTGTTATCATTCCTCTTTTCTACTTTTGGATTTTGGATCCGTAAGTGACTGACTGTTGTTTGCAGATCAATTTTTATCTGTTCGTTGTGTGAGCACAAAAGCAAACGAATAATTTCATACCCACTGAAAATGATTAATTGAGTGATTGTGACTCATTCGACAACATGTAAATAACATATCTGTCGGGTACTACAAGGGCGAAACTTTCCGTGATCAACGATAACATTATCAGCAATCCTGAGAACGCTAACATTCATGAAAAAACTTCTCGTATTAGTTGAACGGAAGCACTGAGAGAAACTGTTGAGAAATTCTCTAGAACTGCTTTCGAAATGTCAAATATTGAACGAAATCAAAAAGTTGTTTGTTTGGAGGAGCGAAATTTTATTTCAACAGAAAACATTTTGCTCTGCATTTCACCTGAACTAAACAGTATGTTAATTAATCTACACTGAACCACACTTGCCAATTATTGAAAATGCCACTTCCGAATCATCAATATTCTAGGAACGTTCACTATGTTAACATACTCTAGGGCTACTCTACTGTAGGTGTTCAGGGTACTTTTGGTCGCTTCCACACTTTTGATACGTTCAACATCCCAATACTAGATAGCTTCCAAGGTAGCGCATATAATGCATAGCATATTTCTTAGAGCCATTCCGAAGTAATCATGCATAACCCGGTAGTCAAAATTTTTTTTTTACCTCCTCGGAAACAAGCATTCATTAGCCTGAGGCAGGACCAGTATCATAGCTTTTTCCGGAGCCAAAGGGGAGCAAATTTTAGAGCTTGAGTCGAAGCTACAATTATCATTCCTTTTTTCTGAGATCGCATAGCCGGATTTGAGTCGATTTTTTCAAAGCTGACATCACTACTGTGAAGTGAATTCGGTTTTTAGCGTCGTTATTGCCTCAAATTTATTTTGTAACACCTTCCAGGTTTCTGATGAAGCCATTACTCTCAAAAGGCGCACTTCTCGGTTCGAGAGATGTGACTGAAGAAGGTCGTACAACTATAGAACATCCTGAATTTGAGCCCGATGAGGCAAAAGACCGGAACGATATCCGATTCGATCCAGTTCTCTATTTACTGGTCTGATCAGCTTATTTCAATGAGTTCTTTACTTCCATTAACTTGTTTTTAGTGTATGATAGTTCATTTCTTGTGTCCAGATGAAAAAACTATGATTCCTTTGAAATTTACGAATTTATGCGTTTCAACTTCTGTTTTGGCATTGCATTAGTTTATCTCAGCTGTGGTCACTCAATAAAAGAACTATGAGAACTCGTAACAGAATGTATTTTCGTTGCGAAAGAAATTGTTGCTTATCTATATGATCGGCATTATGTTTGAAGAGTGCGGATGGTGAACCACATCATTTGGCTGCTGAGAAAGGCTTAATGCCAACGACGAAAGTGAACAAAGCTGGTGATATTCAAGAAAAAGAGGAGACAACACAACCAGAATGTTCATCTTCAACGAGAACAGCTCGTCTAAAAACATGACTTTCACGGAACTTTCTTTTTAGTTTCTCTTCTTGCTAATCACTAATGAATGATCGAAACTTCCACTCATTTCT